GTAACAGTTTATGATATTGTTTAAATCAAATTATCGCATCTTTAGCAGTTTTTCATTTATCGCTAATAATTTACCCACAAAAACGGAAATTTTAAGGAACTTTTGGATTTTCTGCCAATAATCGACACACCCTGTATATAATTCAAACAATGTTCGAAATAGGGGTGATAGCCCTGGATCTCTCACGTTTCCTGGTGTATGATTTTTTCCAATAGAGTAAGTGGTTTTCAAGAAAATACTTGTTTTCTGAAACCATTCAGTACGCTGTAATATTCAATGGCGTCATCGCGTCTCGAGTGAGGGCGAGAAATTGTGATTTTCATTTGGATTTTTTCAAATATCTCGAACAGCGTATGTGATAGACGAAAACCGTAAATACAAAAATTGTAGCTCTCGATGTGGCTTATTACACTTTTTAGACCAATTGGGCCATATTTTTCACGAATTACGGCTGATAATTTAATAGCGAATAGAACGATTTTCATGGTCTTTTAGATTTTTGTCCATAATTGAAAAACCCTGTATACAATTGAAAAAATGTCTGAAATAAAAGTCATAACGTCGGATCTCCCGCATATCCTGGTTCGAAAATTTTGCCGATCGGTTGAATAGTTTTTGAGAAGATCATGTTCATCTGGAAGCCAAAATATTCAAAGAAAATTTTTCAAAATTTTTAAAAAAATATTTGGTTATACTTGATTACGCTCAAATTCTACTGTTTACACAGAATCACAGCCTTCTTATTATGGTGAATTATCATTACAAAGGGAGACCAATTTTCAGTTTTTTACAAATTACCGACACACCCTGTACATTAAAATCATTAAAAATGAAGGTTTTTGGTCCGGATCTGGCGCATCGTTTGGTTAAAGAATTTTTTCAATCGTATATACGGTCTTGGAGAAATGATTTTTTTCTCGATACCCTGCAAGTGCGGTTTTTAATTTTTTTAAAATACTTCTCGACCCCCCAGCGCTCCCCAGTTTCAATAGGCTTCGTTACGGAGCTAAACTCTATATATATATATATATATATATATATATATATATATATATATATATATATATATATATATATATATATATATATATATATATATATATGTCAAATTTCAAGAGGAGAGCTTCAAATTTCGGACACTTATCGTGTTTCATAGCAAAGTCCAAAATGCAGACAAAAATCTAAAAAAAAGCGGACCTATTTTTTACTGGATTGTGTAGCATGCGCACGGCTTAAAAGGAGCCAAATTCGAAAACCGTGTAGCAAACCATTCGAAAGATATTGCCAATTAATTCCAGGTCTACAGAGAAACGAAGAACGAATATCGGAGAACAAAAAAAAAATTTTTTTTTCGACGCTGATCATTGCTGTACGAATGGCGGTCCCCTAGGACCTACAGTTCGATTTTATAGATTTTTCGAAAGTAACGAGGAAAGCTTGGATTTTTTTTATCAATTTAAGCGAATTTTGCTTTTAATATTGGCGCGAACGCAAAATACATAAGCGAAATGTTATTTTCCCTACTCCGAGTCGACATTTCCGATTCACCACCCGATACAGCACCCCGAATTTATATTGCGAATTAAAAACTTCTGAAATGTTGTTTACGTCCCGACGGAGCGGAAACGGAGTCGATAGAAAAAATGGCGCGAAATTCTGCTTGTTGCTGAATTATTCCAATTTAAATACATTCCTGATACTTTAAAAATTGACAAAATTGATATTCGAAACCACCTGCGCCGCGACTGTAGCTGATTATAGGCAGTCGAGGTTAGAATGAGTTCCGAATATTAAAGGAAACTTGTTTCTCTTGAAACTTGACTGGTTACGTACTTCATTGTTGACGCGCTATGCGTCTTGAACTTCAAAAAGTTCATCTTAACTAATAATTAGTTTTATTATAATCCTACAAACTTTAGCTCTACGAAATACGCAGATATTCAGCATGGGATCGAGGATGGCTCGGTATTACATAGATTTAAATTCGCAGAAATGACAAATTGATTTTTGTTACCTGATTTCATTCCTGTTTTAATATCTTTAATGTTTTTCTTTCCCGCTTGTGAGTCAATTTCATGGCTGCAGTCATGAGGAATTAACGGAGTTATACGAATTTTTTCTGATTTATGAAGAAATCACTATATCGTTGCTAAATAATAAACGAGCAAATAAATTCCTCCAGGGTCAGCGCGGTTTTATCGACAAAAGAAATTTATATTTAAATTTATGCCGTTACACAGCAATTTTCTTATCGCATTCGTGCGAAAGCGTTTTTGAGTTTTCAGTAAAACCGTTGCCCATTTTCTCGCTAAATGTATTATCGATGTACGTGCGTTAGCAATTTTATTAACGAATCGAATATTTATTTATAAAATTTCCATCAGAACGCTAAAGCAATTTTTCAAAAAATTGCCCCAACTAAGAAAACCGCACTGAATAAAAAATCTTTCTGCTCATGTCCTTAAATTACGCACGCTCTGAGCAATCTGGTTGCTCCGCACTTAACTAGGTTTTTCCTTCACATTTAATTGAATCCGGGCATATTTTGACAAAATATCTTACCTCTCCATCTCAGGGTCGTGAAAAAGAAACGCATTAATTAATTAAATTCGTAATTTAATAGTGAGGTAAGACAATGCCTAGGCTAGCTCATTAACAACCGAGAAAAATTAATAAAGTAGAAAAGAAAAAAAATATATATACTAAACCAAAGCCAGGTTGGAAGGCGGTGAAGGGCACCTCGGTCAGTCCCGGAAGGTGGTAGGTAGGCGCCACGTGATTCGAAAAAGGTAGACTTATCAACCCGAGGTTCCAACCCGTAAAGGAAATAAACAAGTGAATCACGAACAATAATTTATTTCCTTCAAAATGGGGGTAAGTGTGAGTGTAAAATCTCACCTTCAAGTTTTGGCGGTGCAAAAGAATGTAAGACACTATAATTTAAGGCTATAAGTTCCGCAAACCGTTCTTGAAGAGAACAGGCCACTTAAGCTACCCAAACCTCAAGATGTCCCGAACGTTACACAGCTGTCTGTCACTATCCCGGGAACCAAGCCAAGATGGAATGGTGGCTCAATGAGACCGCCGCAGGTGGGCAGTCTCAGTTAACCCAGCAAAGTCCGTCCGGAAAGCCGGCTGCTCGATAGGGGAAACTCCACAACTAAACATGTACCCAAGAGACAGCATACACTGCAAGACACCAAGTCTGGTCTGGTATTCCGGTGAAAGAAGAAACCACGTGGAAGGTTTGCGGGAAACGGAGCAACAATACGTACAATACTCGATTCGAGGGTTTTCTGGAAATATGGGGCAATGACAATTCTTTTCAAAATCCCTCGTTGAGGAAGATTCCCATTCCAAACTCCAAATAGATCCAAAAGTATGGGAAATCATAAATTAGTGACCAATTCACATATCCCCCTCTTATTGGGGTAGCACTACCGGCTCAAAAAGAAATCGGTCACACAAAAGAAAACCTGCCACAACCCCAAGCTTCAAAAGCTAGCGTACAAAATGCCGGACGATTCAGACAACCAGTTTTATTAAAAGGCTAAACGGACACAAAAAATTAGAGGGAAAACGCCACTCTTGCCAACCTAGTCGACGGTACGCCGCCAGTAGAAAGAACAACCGAACTATATCTGTGGTGATGGCCGTATGGCCCGTGCCAAAGAATCGAGGTTGCGTCAACGAGATCGAATTACCCGAACGCTATCTATGGTGGCGACCGGACGGCCAGTCACAGAAAATCGAGGAAGAATAGGTTAAGAAACAAAACAATGTTTACTAGGCTCGCCAAGGAATACCGAAGCAATGAAAAGCAAATGCGGTCCCTAGTCTCATAGAGTGACAGATGGTAATGGTTATGACTCCTTCTAATGCGCAACTAATACTCTGTTTTTTGCATTAGTATCTCTCAGTAAACCGGTGTCACTTAAGAGAAAACCAAGCGAACAAGGGGCCACGCACACAGCCGTTGCAGCATAAAATATTTATGGTTCGGCAACACAATCGGCCGGGGAGTACAAGTCCGAAACTAAAGGAACCGAGTCTACAAAAGAACATGTGTTCAAACCTAATAAACAAGAATTTTAATGGTTAAGAAGCACTCGCCAAACAGCAAAAGGTGAAGGAAATGGACAGTACAATTAATTCTACAAGGTACTAATAAAATAAACCCGTTACTTCGCAAATGTGCCAGCACTGGTACTTTAAAAATGCTAAATTTTACCATTGAAATATGAAACCGTCACAAATATTATGTAAATAATGAACTGTCAGCGGCCATGTTGATTTTTGAACACCGCAGTGGTCATTGGTAGATATCGAGATTTTAAATGACAGATCTTATTGGTTGAAAGCGAGCCTTTAAATACTGGTTCATGCACACATTGAATTCAAAAGTACCTCCTGGATTACAAACATGTCTTGAAGCGTACCATTACGAAAATATATTTTATTTTTCACTTCTTATACTTTTCGAGTTTTAAACTCATAAAAAATACATTTCACGAAGTTTTGTATCCCGTAAAAGGGTTTCCAAAAAAAACCAATTTATCCGACCTTCAAACTAACCAAAAAAGAAACAACTTACGTGTCGATCCGCCAACGAAGTAAGTAGGACAAAAGTAGGGCACGTTATTATAGATATAAATATAGCAACGATATTGATTATTTTTTTAATCAAGCTATGGGCGAGTTTTTTTTTACGGAAACTAGGAAACTTCGTCGTATGTTTCTATTAAGCTGTTGGCCTACGGAAGTGGAGACGCTCAACTTTCAATCAGGCTAAAAACTCTTTACACCTCGCTATAGCAAAACGAAAGTCTTTTGTACTAAGTGCACGCGTGGTTTCGGTGGAGGAAAACCGAATACCTCTCTGAAGTTTTGCAAATTTTTATGAAGTAGAAATGAGCTAACAGACTTGTGGTTGTAACTTGAAGGCAACGATGAAGAATTTCAATTTTTTTTAGTAATGTATGGAAAAAATGGTTGAAACCTTTTATGTTCAAAAAAGACGGCAACCCATTAGGGAATAAATATTTTAACGACCTAATTGGAGATGAATGGGTGCGTAACTTCATTAAACGTTGTTGACTCTTGACACATACACAATGGCACTCATGGGAATGAACCTTACTGGCATGACTGGCACTTACAGAGGAAAAAAGGGGAGTAAAAGTGGCAAAAGCCATAAGCCAAGTCTACAAGAGAGCTTTATCTGAATAATGGAAAGACCAAAGAAATCTGTATTAAACTTTATATTGTTTGAACATTTAGTAAGTGTGAACACAACATTAATTCAAAGTTTGTTTTATACTGAGTAGACACTTGTTCAAAAAAGCATGGTCTAAAAAATTGGTGTTCGTGCAAAGTTGAATCAATTAAGTTCACTTATGGAGTTGTTATAACCAACTGTTTTTCAGTTACAACCTCTTTAGACAGCGAAAAGTGTACGTCTTCGCTACGTCAACGATGAACAAGTTATATTGAGTTTGTTCAACCCCGTACAACCGGAAACCGGCTTACCTTTTATTTGCGGTGAAAAATGAAGCGGTGTTGATAAATGGTTCGGCGCGCCGAGGTTAAAAGAAACTATGCCAAAAAGTTTATCTGATTTTGGAAAACTCAATTACACCGTATAAAATACGTGCCCGCGGGGGATAACATGTTGAGTAATTTTGCCGCATTTTTGCGTTAAACTATAAACGTTTTTGTGTAAAGGCCTGGTTACTTTTTGATACGAATTAATCTACACCAGGCGTTCCAGCAGCTGCGTCTATTTATGGTGAAAAAGTAAACTTAAGTAAAAAAAAAGAAAATTTTGTAATAGTTACCAGTGGAGGTGGGTAGACGATACTGATCACCCAAAGCTCTTGCAGAAGGCCTTAAATAAGTTGCCAAATATAATGCCAATTAAGACTCCTACAAGTTATGATAACATTTTGGATAGTTTGGTAAACATTCTATTTGGGCGGAGGACTCGTGAGTGTTGCGGTTTTCTGAAGGAACTTTGAATATATTGCTACATGGGACACCAGGAATTTATCTATATATAGGAATATTCAGCATAACACTTAGACACTTGAAAATGTGCCTGAAGAGCAGTAGAATGCTGCCGCTAGAGTTTATATTGTTGTTGTTTGTGCTGCTAAGGTCTATGATTCTCCCTACATGTCTACAATACTTGTACTTCGGATATTACGATATGTCACGACGATAAACAATCGACGATAAAGGTTTTCCTTGACGGTATTAAATTTTGCCCGTTAGAGGGGAAGCTTTTGTGGGATTCCTAATCCAATAACCCTAATGAACGCGGCCGCCATGCAGCCAAAGGGAAATAAAAATTCCTGCCGCAAAGTCGCGCCAAGCGGAGTCTGCACGATAAATTCGAAAGCGTCTGGAACTATCCACCGTACCTACATGTTGCCGTTGACGGTCGCCCTTATTACGTCAGCGGGAAGGATTTCATCGGATCGAATGCAATTCGAGAGCGTATTAACGTGGACGCTAATAAACTATCGGTGTGTATCTATTCGGATGTACCCGGAACACATTTAAAATTTAACAGTATAGCCCATTCGTTGTATAAGAACTCTGCCAAGCAATGAAACTACGCTAGTAGTCAGTAGCTAGACTCGAGTCTAGACCACTACCCTTTAAATATATTAGGGAATACTTAAAGGATATTAAAGCAAAATAACAATTGTTTCTTGCAAACAAGGACACGGAAACACACACATACACACATTTATTTATATGTGTATTTGTGTTTAAATCTAAAATAAAATTACAAATTATTTTTATTACCTACTTAAATTAGTTAAAATTATTCACATAATATATCAGTATCCCTATTGTTATCATCGCCTGTTCTAATTATTATTTTTTCTATATTATTTGCAATATGGATATACGGTTGTTCTGCTTTTTCTATATGTTTAATGATAATCCAATTCAAAAGCAATTGGTCACTTTCTTATATCTACGAACAGACCATACCATTAAGTATAATGAAAATATTCTTACCTAACCCACGTACTATTGTCCGATATTGGACCATTGGACTATATCGCTAATTTTAATTTATGTTCCTATTAATTTTTTCGACACCGCATGAATAACTACCGACCCGAATCACATTTGTTTCGACATTTTCGGAAGTTCGGAATACGGAAAACAAAATTTTCAACATTTCTTGGACGTCTCGGTAATGTAGTTTCTATTTTAGGGTTAAAAATAACCACGAACAGATTTTCTGCTTCGACAACTCCGGTTGTGGTCGAATGGAACATCAGTCAATTGCTTTTGTGTTTATTTATAAACTTTAATTAAAATTTTGAATTACGAGGCTTCTGGTATCATTAATTTTGCGAACAAGATATTGCTATTCGGTTCCGTTTTAGTTTAAACCCTTCAAACGTGTCACGATCGTTAATTTTTATTATAGATGGCACAGGACGCTTAATGTTGAAAGAGTCGATGTCAATTTATGTGGTTTTCTTAATCAAGGCAATATTTCTGAAAATGAAGAATGTTATACTATCACCAAAAATATAGTGCATTTATTCCTTTGACGTTTAAAACCCACCCCAATAGATCAATAGAAAGTAGATCTTGCTGAGATGGACCGTAATAAATATTTGTAGAGACTTAACATTTTTATTTGAAACGTAAATGGACCTTTATAAATTTGATTAAGCATTGATGCTGCGGGGTATTTTCGAATAAGTAAAAGCGTTTATTTTAACATGAGGTGATATGTATCGTTCGTAAGAGTCTAATCTTAATTGCAATATGTTCGTATATATTAAGGAGGTACTTGACTGTGATCCTTCCAGTAAGCACGAATTTATGGAGCTGATTCTCGAGCTTTGACCCTGCGAGGCTGTTTTCACTGAATAGCTCAAAGGGTAAAAGAACTAAGGTTTCTCTTTTTTAACACTTTAAAACGTGGAGACCGTGGAATGAAGCAGATGTTCCCCTGTTAGAAAACAACGCAGACGACGTGAATATAGTAGTCGAACCTAATGATAATTTAGAAGACGAACTACCGTAGCAAATAAGCAAATAAAAAAACAGATCCATTTGTCTTGAAATGATAAGCAAATTGTTTTGAATGTGTACAACTTTATAAGAAATTCTAAAAGGAAAGTAGGAGCAGGACATGACCAAAGTTGCGAAGTCAACAGTGAAAAAAATTGTTGATAATGGAATAGTCAAGTGGGAAGTGAGGGAAGATGCTGGTATTTGGCGAGTTTTAAACAGCAACACGCAGATCTAATAAGCATATAATCTACGATACTTATAAGAGTTTTTACCCTAGAAGAACTGCATAAAAAAGTACTGACACACTTAAATATTAGTTCTGCCAATGGGTCGTTGCGTCCTTTTTTGAAGAATATGGATTTTCAGTTCCAAACAATTAATAAACATCAAGTGCTAACGGAATCAAGAATTTCGAAATGGATAGGCATAGGTGGATTATTTAAATGCAGTTGAAAAATTTCGATAGCAAAATAGGCCAATTTTGGTTCGACACTCACGATAGAGTAAAAAAATGTTGGTGAGTACTAGACGTGCCCCTTTCACATGGAAAAAAACTATCGCCAAATACTGTTATTCTGTTGGATAATGCCTCGTATCATCAAATAAAGAAGAATTTCTATAAGATAATGATTTATATTTTGAGAGAGCTACACGAAAAAACAACTTCGGAAATCGTTAAAAATAAAACATTTTAATAAAGACTACAAAATCGATTCGATAGCACAACAAAACAATGAAATCTTCAGATTACCACTTTATATTTAGACGATTGAGACGATTTGGTCGGAGTTGCACCAAAATTTAGTGATAGTACCATAAAAGTAAATTTCATTACAAAGCTGGTCTAACTGTGAAAAACGAGTAATAAGAGAAGATAATATTTATCGAAAACGATTAGTGGCTGAGTTGATAATTAAACTACGTGACGACAGTAGCGATGGCGATAATTTTTTAAGTGACTGATACTTTAGTATTATTACATTTAATATTTTGTATATTAATAACGATAATATGGAGATATTGTTACTTGTACTAATTTTTTTATTTACATGTTTTAAGAATTGCTCGGCGAAGAAGATTGAAAACATTCTTATATCCAGCTTGTTAGTGTAGGTAGATAAATTCGTAGGACGGGCCCGGAATGGTTACGGGTAAAAGTGTGTTCGGCAGGGTGTTCTGTAAGGGACTGTGGTGGGAGTAATATACAGTATGCCAAGTCAGTCACGGTTCGGTTGTAAAAGCACTATATTTCTGGTCGAAGTATAACATAACTCATGAAATTAACTCCAGTTAACTTGTGTGATTTCGACTTGACATTTACCAATCTTACAAAGTAACTCTGCTTAAGGAGATATGTAGCGGTCCGACAGCGGAAATTGTCTTTTTTTACTGTAGCTGCGTGAAAATATCACAAATTGCCGCACCTTCCGCGGAAAAGTCGAAGAAATTGCCCTGAAAAAGCCAGTGGATCCCGACACATTCCTGGTCTACGACTGCCATTAGTTTTCATTAAACCTCGTCGTTCCCTGTTCCCTCAGTAATTCCTGTTGCAGCCCGAGAATTTATGTCTTTTCTTTTATTCCGGCGCTTCGCCATATTTGCGTTGCCGCAACGGGAAAGTTTAACCACTTGGCATTTGCGCGGTTTCCAAAACGGGACAAACCGTATACACACGTGCGGCTGTTATAAAATAAGAAACGAATTTCCTTAAGCGAAGGAAAAAAACGAAAATTCATATTAATGAAGCCCGAAATAATTTATCATTTAGGGAAAATAAAGAGTCTTGTCAGTCTAAATTTATCCGAACTAGGAAAGTCAAATATCCACGGCAGCGCCGCCATCGCGGATATAATTTATTATTCTCGTATTCACAGGCGGGGATCAGGCTTTGCCGTAATGACGTCGCAAATGTGCTTTTAAAAAAGTCCCGCTCCAAAGTTAATATCGGCGGGTCATTTAACCGAACGAAAACAAATTGCAATTGCTTAAAGTTAAACGCGAGCTACACTAAAACTTGGAATATTAGCCGAGCCGGAAATTTGTATATTGAATTTTATCGGATTTCTTTTTCTGCCACGCACGAACTGAAGGAGGGCGCAGAAGCCCCGCAGCACTACTACTTAACTTACCTTTTAGAATAGTAAAACTTCTCCAAATCACAATTGTATGTGAAAAAAGAAATTTAAATTGACAACGCTGCACTAATCTTGGAAACCCGGCAACAGTGGTCAATCAAATACTGCGCACTCGCAAGGCAACGTAGAACAAAACAATGCACTGTCATTTCAGAGCGACAGAGTGTAGTTAAATACGTGCCAAATGGCCTCTGCTTTGGGATCTATTGAGTTGAGATGAAACTTATATGGGAGTTAATTTTGGGAATAATAGCAATTACAGTGTTACAGAACGAACGAATACTGCTTTAGTTGTGTTTCCGTTATTACTCGCGGATAACATTCTTCTTCTGAGTAATTTTTATTGCTTTGCAATCATAGCAATACGATTTATGATAATATGCTTAGTTATATCTGTTCAACTTTTTTTTTCATTTCTTTTCTCTCTTTTTTTTTTTTGGTGGAATTAGAGCAACTTAGCTGCATATCGCGCCTTTCTTCATCTGGATATATATTATACATTGTCACTGTGTCCAGAAATAAAGAATTTATTATTATTATATTGTTTACACCATTTTGCGTTTCATTGGCATGTATTAAGTTTATAAAAGTTGATAGGAGAAAACACATTCGAAATAATAAATAAAATATGAGAACAGAAACCTTAAGGATTGCCTATTGTACTAATTTTGCATGTGCTCTACGATATACTAGTGTGCAACAAGTGCGGTAAACGGCCTTTGACTCACGAGTTTTTCTACGACCGCTAGTTTTTGGCTACATTTTCGCAAAACAACACGAATAAATTCACTGACATGGCCGTCAGAATTGACAAACGTCAAAATTCAAAGCGTGGGAAATATCTCCGAAAACATCCGATTGTTCCTAAACCCGTGCGGCAATAACCCGGAAATGACCGAAGAAGCTTAGGTCCGTGGGACAAGAAAGTCACATTTTTGGGTAGTGTTTCTGACATAGCAAGATGAATTTTTAAGCAATTGCAGGTAATGACTGCTTATGCAATGTATATTTTGAACTTCTAATTTAATTCAAAAATTAAAACGAAAAAATGCTACCTAATCACAGACTTTCGATAACTGAGAAAGGACCTTAGTATGAGTGCATTACAGTGTGTCCAAGATAAGGCTATCATGGGGATATTGAAAATCATACGAGATACGAAGATACCTAAATTATAGGTTAAATAATACCTTGTAACTGTCAAATTTGAATATTTTTTAACATATCAGTTGTAATATTTTGAAAGGCCCCAAGAACCAGTCTTCCCAATTGACCCTCAGTCTGAAAAACTTGCAGGTAATTTTTGTAATATCCCAGTATAAGAAAATCGACTTGAATGA